CTTTTATTCCCTGGAACTGTTCAGGGTACATATGGACTAATACTTGATTATGCAGCTGTCGCAAACAAGTTCATGCCTTTTCTGTTGATGCACCTGAGTTAATTTTACAGTTTTCAGCTGAGTTGATCCCCTTCATATCTGCATTCCACATGTCTGTACGGTCCTACAAAACTGCTTGACAGGCCCTACTAGCCACGGACTTAAGTAGGACGAGCGCATTGTTCATTCTAACTTTAGGGAGGAGGAACATTAATTCATAGCACCTCCCCTACAATCAGGGTTAGTTACGGTTGATTTTATCAAGCCCTTCAATTGACTTATTTATCATACGCTTTCCAGGTCTTTGTATCGGCATTGTTATTATCATGCCTGTATGAAAATATATGCTTGATCACACGTGATAGCCTACGCACATATTCATCTCTCTTGCTTAGTTGCCCAAATCGCTCTACAAATCATTCGTCTTCCCTGGATCCTATTAATTGATTCGCCTCTGTATTCGTTAGAGCTCTCACGGTAACATTTCTGCCCAGATTCGCTCGATGTCCTTGTGGCTTATCGGTATGTCCTGTTCGGTAATAAGCTGTCTTTGGCGCTTCAAACAATAGTCTGTTACATGAGGCATGCCAGTTTACAGGCGAAATCAACTTGTTAAAGATGAGGTCCTCACTGTGGTGAATTAATCAGTTAGTTTGATATTTTGTAAGGTACACCGATCATAAAACTATGGGGTATAACACTTCTCCATATGAATGTAAATAGTATTAGTAATATTCGTATCGTCAATATCACAGTCGGAGCGCTTTATGGGGGCTGCGTTGTAACGTGCGACTGATAGTCGGGAGTAAATCCACGTGAATTTGAGAGCTTCTATCGACGGTGACCATATATATGTCTAGAAAATCCGAGGCAATAATGATGACGACGGACGAAATCACCCGTTCCGTATGCGTCTTCAGTGGCATATCTCGAGGAGGCTGAAGAAAAGAGTAAGAAAAAGGGAGGACGAGAAGCAGAGCAGATAATGTTCATGCTTATTGAAATTGAGTCATTTGTGGAGAAATAGTTAAGGTATGACAACCTAGTCTAATTCTATTTTATTAAGATGCTGTTCAAGCAAAAGCATTCTAATAGGCCAAATTAAATAAGCGAAAATAAGGTATGAGTGGATAAAGAACTGTATGAATGAACATGGTTCGAATAGAAGCTGAAATTATTGGATTATATGTACTTTTAAAATTTGATACTAAAAACAGTATTCTGATAACCAAGTGGCTATCTCCCTTTTCTGTCGAAGTTGCGTCAGCTCATTTTTACTATATTGATTTGATAGAGTCATGGGCAGGCTTCATTTATAGAAAATTACCTTATTTCGCTTGTAATAGGATTACTGGGTAGGAAGTGAAACCAATTCAACGTCACAAGCATGATCTAAAGAAGTATTTTAAATATTAAATTAGCATCAATATCATTGGTTCGTGACATCCCACTTTACCGTAACGAGTCGTAATTTAACATGTTCTACCCCTCAGACAAGGGTAAATTGAATTTATCTCCACACTTTCATGTTTGCTGGTCAGTAACGCCATTCTCCCTCATTTCGTGGTGTTAAGCTCTCTTACGTCTGTGGTGTGTAGGAATACTGCTTTAATATAAGTTACTTGTTGGAATATGACGACGTTGATGATAGTTTCTCAATTACGGATAGGTACTGACAACGTATTCAATAATAAACTATACCGCGATACGGGAGAAATATGAGTTCATATATTGCTTTGTAAAGAAATATTAGATTGTTCCTTGGCCGACTGTACCATAAAGGTTCTAAGGAGCTTGCATTTATCCGTGTAGTTGAGAGTGGAGTCACACCTTAGCAGTCGGCGAGTGAGGCATCTTTAAATACCTAGTTTTATCTTGTTTGAGTAGATAAAACAGCAACACTCAAGGGAGAGTTGTATACATATTTTGTAAATAGTAAGCCTAGCTTCTTTTTTAACGAAAATTTTCATCATGAAACCAACTAGCCTTCTAAATTCAGAAATAATGAAGGAGGCATGTTATTCAAACTTTAGGCTTCCTGTGTGATTAATACCTAGATGGAGCACTGATTCGAGTGTTTGAACTCTAAGTTTATTTAAGTAAAGTTGTCGTTCATAGGGATGTTGCTTCCTGAACTTCATAAACCGTTGAGATTTATATAATAATGGTTATCAGGACGATTGATACACGAAGTCCAAGGAATTATCTCGAAAGTGATTCACTACGAGTTCTCCCGTATTTTACTGCTCAATTTTCCTGGTTTTTCCTTTAATAAGCTACGTAGAACTGAAGGAACCAGTTTTTTTTGGTAACAGGTCTTTAGAATTTTATACTCACTGGGAAAACATATATACCACATGGATTGTATGCTCTTATCTTCCGAAGTAAACTGATGTACCCTCTGATTTATCGTGACTTAGTTGAAAGAAAAAGACAAGATGTGACAAGTTCAAAGTCGTTAACTGTCTTTCAAGTCAAACTCAGTTCACAGTAGGATAATGTACAACTATCTAACTTCTAAAGACGGCTTTTCGTACGACAGGCTGATCATTTCCCAGATTTCTCATGTAGCAATCTTCCGTACTTCTCCTGAAAGATCTAATTCACCTGTATAGTTATGGCGTATAGGCTATACACGTCTAAGTTGTTTACATCCAACTAGGGGTGCTTAAACGGCTGTTACTGTCCTTTTGTCCAGTTTTCTGAAGGTCTGTTAACCTTTGTTTGCACCAAACAGTGTTGAGCCTTTACCTGAAAGTTATGATTTGTCATGACTTAGTTATTATTAGTTAAGACTAATGGAAACATTCAGACAATTCAGCACCAGTCCATATCTGAAGTAAATGAAGATACGCAGATGTATTGATTGACAATGATTTTTTCAAGTCGGTTCACCATAATGTTGAGATCAACCTGGGGTGTTCGTATATTCCCATACTACTGTACTTCTTTCCATACTTTTTATCATCAAACTTGATGAGACTTGAAAGTTTACTGACATAAAGGATGGATAACAGTAAACCTTTTACTGTTTATTGCGGTGCTCCGCTGATTTCGAAGAATGAATTATTGAGTTGCTTCGACGGATACTGTAGTACTGGTTAGGGACTTGAATGCGCAGGACGGGTGCTTAGGTACAGAGGAAAGTGGTTTGGGTAGCTGGTGAGGACTTGTTTTTTTGCAGGCTGGATAACGATGACCAACTACTGCAACTTGCACAAACTACAACCAGTTTCTGGTCATCGATTTAGTCATAGTCTATTTTCGAAGCGCCACCACTCATCAGGCCCAACAGCTTACGTCCGGCTCGTTTTAAATGTAGTGGTGACCGGGTTAGGGACATAACTTAGTTGTCTATAAATATCATGGAATTAGAGCGTGTTCCGACATAGTGGAATGAGTCGACAGTTGTCGGTATCTTTAAAAAAGATTCACGTCACCTATGGATACCTCTCAGGGGATACATCTACTTCCGGTCGTGTGCAAATTATTGGCTTCTGTCATGGTTTGTGGATTGTTTGAAACCCAAAGAAGATTGAGACGAGAGAGGCAGGCTGATTTTCGTTGTGGTCGAGGATTTATTGATCATATCTTTACCCTCCACCAAGTGTTAGGTTTATTACTGATGCTTATTACTGGTCAACAATCGTAATGTTTCTTGACATTAGGGCTGCCTTCCAGTTATTGTACAGGACTGTTCTCTAGGACTGTCTATTGAAGAAGGATGTGCCCAAAAAGTTTACTAACATATTGAAAGCTCTATATACGAACTCCTCAGACAGAATGAAGCTATACAACTACCCCTCTCTGTTGTTATATTCAGGCAAAGGAGTTAGACAGGGTTGCGTAATCTCACTATTCCTCTTCAACTTGTCCAATGATGACATTCTGGAAACAACTCCGATGGATGTAGGTAATGATGGTATGGATCTGTTTCTTGGATAAAGACTTTTTGACCTTGAGTATGCCGATAACATCGTCTTACTATACGATGACACCTAAGTCGTTTGGTCTGCACTTAATCAGTTGGGAATCAACGTCCGTGGGTATGAAATATTATTTGAACCTTCGAAGTGCAAATCATTCTTACAAGACTAGGAGGACGCTGTATCCGCATTCACTCTTGGCAGTGAATAGATAGAAGTAGTCAAGAAGTTTTTGAATTTCGGTGTCTCTATAAGTGCAGATGATTTATTTATTCATTTGAACACATAAATATTGGTACAAAGGGGCACCGGATATATATGCGCAACACAAGTCACTTGATTTGTGTGTGGGTTATGGCAATTGGTTCATACGCCATTCCTCCCCTCAGAATCCTGGAGCCCATATGATCTGTTGGTTTGGAACCAGGGTTTTCCAACACCTCTAGAAAGATCCTCTATATCCACTAACCTGGTCGAAGCGCCGGACGTTCGCTTTTTGTCCTCTCAATTTCGTAAACAACACCCCGACCGCGAGAAGGCGGTGTTTAAGACTTCCCTGACGGTCGTTGTATACGCGTGACCACGTGAAAGCATTTCGAAAGGGAGAACCGACTCAATAAGTATAAAAGAAACTTATTATTCTTAAAACAAATTGAAAACAAAAGGACTTATTGGACAAGGAAAATCATTCTGCAAATTCTGAATATCGCGCACAGAGTGAAGTTCCGTCTCCTCACCGAGAGGATAATGATTCAAACGCTTTACCCTGACAAACGCTTTACCCTGACCCAAACAGTGAAAATTTTCAAGGAGAAGCTCGATCTTAACTGGAAAACGAATTTCAAGGATTATTTAACCTTTCGCCTTTATTACTGAAAACTTCTTTACTGAGGTTTGTAGTCTAGGCTCTTATTTGGAGGCATCGGTGATCTGCTACTAGATACGGAAGCCTTCTGAGCGCAAGCCTCAACTATTCTCTTCAGAATTATTCAATTAGTTACAACACGTTTTTGACTTTTGCGTTACATCTCGGGAATGAAACAACTGTATAATTATATAGCGTCGCCAGATGATAAATACCCTTTCTTTCGGACGAAAATGGCTTTTTTGGGCGGGTATACTGTCAGTGAGTCTATAAATATTTTAGCTTTTGGTGTCGCTTTTAAGCTATATTCGTTCTTTTCCTACCAAACCATATTTATCAATGAAGGGATTTACTTTCACCAAGCAAGAGTGGCTTAAAGAATGACATTTGTTTCCCGTCACCTGAGTGTTTTGTTTGTTTATAGGTTCATCTTTAATCAATTTCAATGAAAATAGCTGATCGGTATGTGTATTATTTCACTTTCACTCTTCCGTAATAAGAATATTAGGTTTCTCAGGTAAAAGTATACTACACTTACGCCGTTAATTAACTTGGTGTCCAGTAAGAAAACTGATTATAAAACATTTTACGACAAAAAGCAGCAGAATGGCAGTGGGATATTACTGTTGATACGTTTAATTAACAATTCTGTGCTAAATTAATCACTACAGCAAGAAAAATGTTAAGTCTACATACTAAGTCAGAATAGTATAGCAAGTTTAGAATCTAACTCTTTGGGGTTTTTGTTATCAACTGACATCAACTATAATCTAAAAGGTTAGGATTAGGAATTCGAAGATAAAGTCAAATTATGATCTAGGATTAGTTTTTTTTGGCTATGTTGTCATCATATACTGACACCAGCTATAATGCAGTGAAGATTTGTCACCCTTTTGACCATAGACCTAAGAGATTTAAAGATGAGGCCTAGAGTTAGGAGTAAGAGTAGGAGGATATTGTGTAATTACTCAAACACCTCTGCCTATTCACTGAATCATACTAAGTATTCTGCCATACATTCTGTGTTACAGGTGTTTGGGCTTGCAAATCATGTCATATTCATTATATGATTGCATAAGAGGTGTTTATATAGTCGATTTGGTAAACCCTTACCGGTTCACCTGCGTTAATTCGTGCTGTGTGCTTTCTCGTCAGGATTGCGCTTTCACTTTAAAGTGATCATCGGCGAGTATGGCATCAATATACCACCTGGAGTATTTCAGTCATTGACCACTGTAGGACTTTGAGGATCACAGTCTGTGGTCGTTTAGAGGATTCAGGCTTTTGTTTTGAGAAGAGATTCCTGAGGGCCTGCGTCAATCTTTTCCTAGTAAGCTTCTGTGCTTCTAATCTCTTGGATCCGCTCGCTGGGGGCGGAAGCTTTTCAGTTTTTGGATTAGAGTCGACCTCTCGGTGAAGAAACCTTTATGACACGGTGCTTTTAGTAGTAGTCTTTGAGCCTCATTATGGTAGTCTCGGAGACGGCTAGTTATAATGGAGCAAAAAATATTAGCATCTAAGTTTTTATTCAAGATACGAAATGGCAGTGCGTTATCAGCCCCTATTTTCTGACAATACAAGGGAGATCTCCGAAAGGTCTTGTTACCAGGTTACTATCTACTCCTACGTCCTGAGATAAACATTTTTATTTCGACATAGGCCAGCTGCTTGAATGTTGTATTTTAGATAAAGCGTCACATATGTGGGACATAAACTTCGAATCACTTTTTCGCTAAGGTATTTAAGGACCCTGCGAAGTGACGTTGACACACAAAACCCTTTAGCAGTTGTTAAATTGCAGTCTATCTTTTTCAAGCCATGACTTGTAGTTACATATAAGTCATTATATTTCATAAATTAAAGTAGTAATGTCTCATCGATAATGTACTGATGACTGCTACCATGGACCTTTGTTCAAATAATTAGTCGTTCTTCATAATAGGGATGATGGGGAGAAAAGTCAGTTGTCAAAATATCAGTTACTAAACATTGATGGAGATTATTATGCATTCCGTCAATGCTGTCTCATACAGAACCTAAATGCTTCTATGCGAATAAAAATCTGAACATCACTCAAAGTATTAACTCAGTCAAGTACAGTTCTGAAGGGGAAATGGATTCTGATGGAGAATTTCAGTCATTCAACATCATAGTTGGGACAAGCAACAACAAAGTCTTTAGAGAGTCTTGCGGTTATTATTTGTCCAAATTCAATTGCTATCGCAATCCGAATTTCCTTGAAATTCATCAAATCTAAGCTCAGTATCCTTATTTTTAGTTCCACAGTATTCAGTTAAGTTTACAGCACGAGAGACATCAATAATCTCATGAGAACGGGTAAAGTTTTCAATTACATGGCAAAGCACCTCAGGTACCCACATCGTTATGAATCAAAATGTGTATCGAATTCTCAGATTAAGGAGGAGAGGGGAGGCAAAAGTAAGGTTTTTCTCTTTCATAATCAGGCAGTGGTAGTGGAGTATTTTACATTCTATAAGGCAGTTGAAACCGGCAGATGAACAAAAATTTGGTTTTCAGTAGAATTAGTGTTAAGCGAAAAGATCGTACATCATTTCGTAGGGAAGGTGATAAAGTGCCCAAGAATTAAACCTGATAGTCAAGCTTTAATTAGTTGTAGGTTGAGTAGTCTACGAGCTGATCGATCTTAACAACCGAGAATTCTATCAAACATAAAACTAATTTGTAATGCATGTAATCACACCTAGATCTTTGTGTTTCAGGACTAGGTTCCGATTGATAATGCACTGGTGGTTAATGTTATGGGCGATCTACATTGTTGTACCTTTGCTGGAGTATATCTCTAGTAACCAATTTTTAAACCTTCTAACTAATTTATGTGAATCCCTTTGGAGCTTTACCATATCAGTGTCAATATATATAACCTCATAAACTTTTACATCGTCTTCAAGTAGGGATAATTATGATAAGGAACCCATTGTTTTCTTCCTTTTTCGACATCTGATTTTGCCTTTCGAAAGAAGTAAATTACAGCATTGGGGCCAAAAGCCCGACTCCCTTGTCGATTCATTTCGCAACCTGTATTAGCTCCTGTATTGTCCATAAGATACAGATCTGCCATCAAAATTCCGTATTTCAAACATACATCCGCTAAATGTTGAGTACCACTTTCGAAATCTGCCTTTCCGTCTTCATACAAATACCATAATGATCAAGAAACTTTTTCAGTTGTTGTCGTAAAACTTGCTATGATCTTGGGATTATGACTGGCTCATACTTTCCTAGACTAGAACACATCGGTGCGTTGTTTAACCTGTCATGTTATATATATATATGTTTAGACTCTGATCATGCCCTTATACGAGTATTCATTTGCCTGCGCCCCACTAGACGCAGGAAAGCCACATTAAGAAGACCCATTAGAATTGGACTGAGTGACGTAAAAGCCAAAAGTAGATTCCAGGAACAACTGAGGTCACACTTAACAGTTTTGAAAACAAAGCTGACCCAGATGTTTCTTAGAAAGACACACAAACAGCTGTGGAAACAGCTGTGACATCTATTAGTGATTTGAACCATAGGGTTACGAAAAACCAATGGATTTCTTCCAAGTCTATTGCACCGGTTAAACTCTCATAGACTCATCCCTTCAGGCTCCAAAGACAATAACGAGCGAAAACAAATCAGGTCTAGGTTAACCAGAAGTCTAAGGAACGATCGTGAACAGTGCTGGGGAACGTAGCGAAAGAGATGGAAAAGGCGGTGGCTGTAGGCAACACCAGACAGCTTTTTAGACTAATAAAAGGAACTGGAATTAAGAAGTCAAATATAAGTGAGATAATCTTGGAAAAATACGACACTTATCTGCTCTCAACCCAAACGTTTAGAACGATGGGCGGAATACTTTAGAGAACAGTTTAGTTGGCCTTGAGCTAATCTAAAGTTACCCACCATTCCCAAACAGTGTAAATGGAACATTGAAGTAGGTCCCCTAACCCTAGCTAAAGTTCAAAAGGTTATAGCTAATATGAAACGAGGAGGAGCAGCTGGTCCAGATGGATTGACTTCAAATGTCTTTAAGGACGGTGGTCCAGTTTTAGTGATCAGGCTGACTAATCCTTTAGCTAAAATCTGGAAACTGGACGTAATCCTATCTGACAGGACTCAACCACTGATTGTCCCAATATATAAGAAAAGGTCAAAGTCATCTTGTGGTAATAATATAGGGATTAGTTGGACCAATATGGCATCTAAAATACTAGCCTCAATAGTTATCGAACGCCTAACTAAGACTCGTGAACTTCGAACAGGAGAAAACCAGGTTGGCTTCGGACCTAATCGTGGCTTCATCTACCACTTACTCACTATTTGCCAGAATTCAGAACATAGACATGCTTATCGGCGTCCGACAATGATAGTTTTTCTTGACTTGAAAGCAGCATTTGACTCTGTAGAACGAGAAGTTCTGTGGCAGTGTCTGTCATTGAAAGGTGTACCTTAGAAGTACATAAACCCTGTGAAGACTCTTTACTCAAACACTACCAGTCGATTCAGAGCTTATGGTGAACTGTCATCTGATTTTGCAACCTCAAGTTGTGTCCAGCAAGGCTGTCCACCATCTCCATTTTCATTCAGTTTTATCATAGACCTACTGCTGGAAATAACGTTCTCATCGATTGAGTTTTCAGGAGGTCCACTTAACGACTTAGAATACTCAGATAGTCCTGTTTGGTGAAGACGCTGATAAAATGCAGTCTTTTGATAGCACTGAGAAACAGTGTCAGGATGTTTGAGATGTGTTTCTCCCTCTCTAAATGTAAATTTTTGCTCCAGGACTGGCCTGCGTCAACACCTGAACTAAGGATAGGGAGTAAAGTAGTCGACAACTTCACTTATCTTGGAAGTCTGATCAGTCCTAATGGGTTGGTGTCTGACCAGATCTCAGCACTGATTCAAAAAGTTCGTTTGGCTTTTGCCAACTTACGTCACCTATGGCGAAGACGAGATATCCGTCTATCGATTAAGGGACGAGTATACTGTACAGCAGTTTGCTCTGTTCTACTTTACGGCTGCGAAACGTGGCCATTAAGAGTAGAAGATACTCGTGAGTTACTAGTATTTGACCACAGATGCTTTAGGAACATTTCACGCATCTGCTGGTATCACCGGGTAAGTAATAGTGAGGTTAGATGCATGATATTAGGGAAGAGCGGAGAGAATAAAAGCAGCAAACCCAAGGTCCGAAGGCGAAGTCGTACTGCCGACTGTACAGAGGTGTGACA